TGGCACAGTGGATAAAGGTGTTAGTTAAATCTAGTGACAGGACCTAAATACCTGGTTAAGGTGGTGGAGAACTTGGAGAGGGGAATTAACAGGAGATAACTGATAACTGACATCCATTAGACATGGCATTTACTGTGAATCCTAAAAAAAAAGACACTCCAGGGCTTTTTATAAAAAACATCACATAGTAGGAACTGATATTAAGTCCTGGCCGTAAATAAACTCCAACTCCAGACCGCTTCCCCCAGGATAAGATACCTTATGCCCCCACCAATTGCTAACACAAACCCATTCTCATTAACAAGGTGTCTAGAGAGGAGGACTGACCTTGAAAATAAATTTAAAACAATGCTCCAAGACAAACACTCAGAGACTGATGATAGCTGTATACAGAATGGCTTGAAATAGATTATATTTATGTTAAGGTAATTTTTTTTTTTTGCTTTAAAATATACATATGCTCTGTCAAAATAAAAACATCAAGCTCTCTGTGGATCAGTTTTCATAATTAATATTACTAGGATCCACCCAGATTATATACCAATGGATCAATTACTTGTACTAATATATATATATATAAGTTATGAAGAACTTGGTAATCCCAAGGAGGATGATCCTGAGAGCTCAATGTAAATCCAGATATATATATTTATTAAGACATTTTTTATGTTTATATGTTCTTTTTATAAATACAAATATCTAAGTAAATGCTCTGTTTATAATAAACAGTATTAACAACATTTACTGGCCTGAATGTCAGAAATTTTCATAGAAAATATGCTTCCTCCGAATTGTGACGTGCCTTAACTGATTGGGCTACAGAGGAGTGTTCAGTTAGCAAGGTCGATTTTACTGTTTTTAAACACAATTCTTCATGATATTCTCTCATACATTCATATCTGCTCAATGCATATCCAAATGTAAACAAATGATGTCACACGTCATGGAGAATTGTGTTTAAAAACAATAAAATCGACCTTGCTAACTGAACACTCCTCTGTGGCACAATCGGTTAAAGCACATCAGGCTATATGATGGTTCCATATAGGATACAGGTTCGATTCCTGTCAGAGGACACATATTTTCTATGAAAATTTCTCAGACATTCAGACCGTTAAATGTTGTTAATACTGTTTATTATAAACAGAGGATTGATTTAAATATTTGTATCTATAAAAAGAATGTATTAACATTAAAAAAAAAATGTCTTAATAAAATAATTGTTGGACTTTATCCATTTCATAATGTGTAACATACATATATATATATAAAAAGAATCAGATAGGATAGCAAACAAATAGGAAACATTTATCAATTTAACGTGTTTTGCTTTTATTTATGCTCCATCAGAATTGTGGAGAAAAGAAAATTCTGGTATGTTTTTTTTTTTTTTTTTTTTTGTGTGCTGTTTGTCTTCCATTGGTTAAGTCGACCTCGCGTATATTTGTTTTGTCAGGTAGCGTTTATGTGTATAATTTTTGTGTATAGAATTTGGTTGATGATATGTGTGCATGCATTTTTGCATCTAGTGGGCATTTTTATTTCTGTCCGTATGTTAATTGGGGGGGATGTTTTGCGTGGGAGTAAAAGAACTTAGGTTATACCAGTTATGATTGTAGGTAGACAGATCTTAGATTCTTTAAGTATGGATTTTATAAAAGTTGTTGATATAAATAAAATTTTAAATAAAAGCAAAACATGTTAAATTTATAAATCTTAAATAAAAGTGAAACATGCTCAATTTATAAAATTTCATATTTGTTCCTTATCCTATATATATATATATATATAATGTGTGTGTGTGTGCATAAAACTTGTCACAGTGTACAGATATTACATTGTTCTGAGACAGAAATACACATAAGAACAGTTTGATCCAAGTCAGATACTAGACTGATCTCTTGCAGGATGTATAGATATTATACTGATGATAGGTAGAGTGCACATATTCTATACTGATCTGTGATAGAAGTGCCATAGAGCAACTGTTTGATCCTCAGTGGAGCACACAGATACTATACTGCTCTTATGCAGTGTGCTGATCCCAGGCAGAGTACACAGATAATCTTATTCAATAATCCCATCATGTTTTTTAAGGATATTATTGCAAAATATTTTTTCCATTTTTATAACTGGGGAATTTTCCCTGCCAGAAAATGAAAGTTACTTTTAATACCATCCATTATACTTAAAAATCTGGTTTTAAAAACCAGACTTAGATACAAGTATATAAAGTAATTTGAAATAATGTATGATTAATATACATTTGTAACATCTAATTCTATGATAGAATGAATATAATAATATTGATTGCTACCTGATAACACAAGTTTATTAGCAGTATTAAGCATTATAATATTTATTTTTATGTAACAGAATTGTCAGTCACATTCTGATTATAGTGCAAACCAGTCTTATGATGGGAGATAATGTTAGCGACATTTTAAAATGAATAAAAGTTAGTAAAAAGAAAGTGAAACAGAAGGTAACCAAAAGTTTTGTGCCCTTTTCAATATTTTCTTTTTCAGTTAAAAAAAAAACCCCTTCAAAAGCATTTTCAGTAACATTAAATCTCCACAGATCATTTACTATCAAATAACCTACAGATAGTTGATTGCCATTTTGTTTACTATACAAATTTAAATTTGGGACAAGGGCAGCAGAAACAGTCCATAAAATATGAGCACCATTTAGTGAAACAGTTCATGAAATATGAGCACCATTTAGTGAAGTGTTTCAGGAGGTTATCAGTTGGAAATGAGTCATTTGAACATGTACCTTGTAAATGATAGGCACCCTCAATGATTACCAGCTAACTAAAGATTTGTATTGAATTTACTGTACTTCAAATGTGTTGATAACTGCAGTAACTATTTTGGACAGTAGATTTATATTTTTGCTACCACATTGAATTTTCTGAAGTTTTTAGTGAAAATGTCACTCCCCAATCTTACCAAATTTTTTTAAGTATTCCAATAATAATCTGAAATGTTATAGAAATTTCTGACAATTTGCTCCAAGACCATTGCTTTCATCACTATGAGTTGTCTTGAATTACTGATTCATAAGAGTAAGCTGACTCAAGATAAAGGAATTTGTTAGTTATTTTGTTAGACATTTGAGGATAATAATTGCTTTCAGTGCTTTCATCACTGACTCTAAATTGTTTTGAATCACTATCTGAATTACTTGAAGAGTAAGAAAACTTAAAGATCTCCCAGTTATCTGTTTAGTCAGATGTTCCAGGAGAATCCTTGCTTTCATAAACATCTACAATTGTTTTGAAATACAATTTGAATCACTAAACAAGGAAAAAGATTCCAATCAAGGAAATTTCTTATTAGATATCTTGTCAGACATTCCAGGATGGGTCATTGGATTCACTAGCTTCACCATTTGTGAATTGGCTTGGAATATTAATATAGGGGTAGATAGGTTCACCTATCGCCCCGTTCGCACTCCTCCCTGGTTTTTCGAACAATAGAGGTTTATCCCTCACTTTCTGTTTATGATTGTGTTACTGGTTTCTTCTAAAATCTTCTCATTTACTTTCACTTCCAGTATCCCCTAGTGACTTTGTGGCATTATTGTCTTGTTTGGGGTGAATTGATTAAAAATAAAATTATTATCCAATTCCCTACCAGACAAAGAAAACCCTGACATTGCAAAAATATCAGAAAATTTCTCACATAACCATTTTTTAAATATCAAGATGTCATTTATTCAGAATTATTTAAACAATTTATATCAATAGTAGACATAAATATTGCTACATTGTGAGAATGTGCCAAACTAGAGTGTTACTGAAAGAAGGAACATTAAATTGTCCTCTCTTCAGTGCAACTTGATGGATTTTATGACCTTACAATGTGTTATATAAACAAAGTATCTCCTCATATATTGCTAAAAAATTGAGCCAGGAAGTTATCAGTTGGAAATCACTCACACGAAACTGCACCTTGAGAATGACTGTTAGTAAGTATATGATGACCAACTGAACAAGAGTTGTGTTGCATCTAATCCAAACATATCAGAAGAATGTATCATAGGTTAATGTGAGCAATGAAACAAAGTCAGCACTCTTTTGGGAAAAGGATACCAATACTTAAAACAAAAAAAAAAAAAAAACAGTTGAAATTTCAGGGGGATATAGTGAGGAAAGAGGGCTTGGAGAATTTGACACTTGCAGGACATATTGTGAGCAGAGAGAAACCTTAAGTAACCTACCTAATGAGTGCATGTAAATGGATGGCAGAACAGGGATCAAGAGGGATAGGAAGGGGCCAAACAATGCTTTGAGCTACAAAGGATAAGAAGTTATGAAAAGTCATGATCATCCGTGTTCTCAAGGGACATGGCACATAAAAGAAGCAGCAGCGGCACATCATAGAAATCAGTTTCCTACAAACATGTGGAATAAAAAAGTTGCGAAAATGACATTAATTTTGTTTAGTGGTATATCAAATTATATAGGTTATTTAATGCTGAAATCTAAATATTTTGAACACAATTTTATGGCTTCAACTAAATATATTTTGAGCAAAATTACATGCCTTCAACTACAGATAAAATTTATTGTTGGTAATTTTAATGGAAATAGGTATTGGTAATTTTTTTTTTTTTATAAAATGTATTTTTATACTTTCATAGTGTTTTTGTTTGAGGGTTCAATATTTGCCCATATCTGGGACCCTAACAGGTGCTGCCACTCTGGGTCAGTGTGGACCTGGGAACAACAGCAATTAAGAGATAGTGCCATGCTCCTCAAAAACCTCCAATCTCCCGATCAGATGCCTTGCTGCTGGATGTAGTTTATTGCCATACCCAGGACTGGGGAAAAGGATATAAATGCAAAAACCTTTTTGGTTACCTAATATTATAGATTTAATCATGTCAATATTAGTCTTGATGCAGACTGATAAATTCTTTCACCTAAAATGACATCTTACAAGCAGCAGTTTGAAATTATCTAATAAGCATTGTATGTGAAAGGGACTTACCTTGTTCATCGTGTTTCATTCCTAAGTTGTGGCCAATCATGTGTGCCAGGACAGATGCAGCCTGCTGTGGCTCAAATGGACTGGCACTCTGAAAATATCAAAGAAAAAAACAGATTATATAAATTTTTAGGACATGGAAAAAATCATTATCTTGAATTTCCTGTAATAGATTGTCAATGATTTTTAATTTTTGACTACTACTACTTTCATCATTATTTTAATTACTCCTCATCACAACCTCTTAGACCATCATTTCAAGAGTAGAAATCAAAAACAAGTAAGGTTATCTTCAGTTTTTTAATAACTCAATTTAAGGTGTACCTTTGCCTGACTTTCCACTCTATTGAGTGATATACATATAACCCAGTCTCCATAGTTTCTGCTATCATTTCTAAGCTGGATCCTCACAAAGCATGTAGTCTTGATGGTATCTCTGCAATAGTCCTTAAGAAATGGACTAGATTCATCTTATGATGTATCCTGCCCAAAGATCAGGATATGATTAAGAAGAAAAACAGATACTACATTAATTGCAGCCTAAAGGCTGAGAAATATGACCATCTGATACTTTTGTTCAAATGACTTGTCCCAATTCAGATACATAAGAAATGCCGTGGATAGAGTGAGTAAACATCAAGGAAGTCTTAAAGAAAATGGCAACAGAAAAAAAGACTTCTACTCACAATCAGGAAAAACAGCTGAAATTCCTTGGACATAATGAGGAAGGAGAGATTAGAAAACTTAACCCTCATGGGGTGTATTGAGGGCAAGACAAATAAGGGAAAGCAGTGAGCCACGTATTGGATGACCTTGTGTGACTGGATGGCACAACAAGGAGAGGGGTCTTAGCAATGGGAGAAAAACTGCTAAGAGACTCAAGAGTTAGGCAATCACAGCTCTCCACATCTTCCTATGTCATGAAGGGAGAGGGCACATAAAAAGTTTGATTCAACTGTATAAACAAGCTGCTTTATGTTAAGTTTTACAGCAAACTTACCTGTAGGATTTCTTGCATTTTCTGATAAGATGGTCTGCAAATGTACTTTCAATTTTTATCAGTTATGCAAGCTTTTTTGCCTACTAATTAATAGAACTTCTTCACATGTTACTATCTTATTAGAAAATGCAAAAATTTCTGGGGATGAGGTTGGGTTTTAAAACAGTGCTTCTGGAAAATCTAAAATTCCTGATTAAAATTCAAAATTTTTCACATATTAAAAAATTTTCTGAGCCCGACACTTAGTTAAGGAAGGAATTGAGGCGAAACAAATTGATAAAAACAAAATTCTTATTTATTACTTACTCGAGATATACCGATGGAACGATCAGTGCAAAGAGAGTCAGGAATGGCCATTCCAACCACATGGTTTTCCAGAATTTTGCTCCTATGCAAAAAAAAAAATGAGAAATAATCTTACGATGCAGAATGAATGATAACTGAATTGGAATGGTAACATATCAAAATGATCTTCAATACAGCTTATAAACCTGAAGAAGGCTGTAGAACAGGCATGTCAAACTCAAGGCATCGGCCATATCTGCAACCTTGAGGACCACACTTGCTTACAGCCTTATATTAATCGCAGCTAGTGGTAACGAAACTTTAAATACAAACTACGTACAATACAAGGTAATGAAATTTATACACGTTTATGTTGTCCTGATGATTGACATCACTTTAGACAACCTATTCTCAGTATATTAGGTTGGAATGTCTGTGTAGATCCCACTTTGATCAAAGATGGTAAATGTTCATCAGTTAATCTGGTTCTGTGAGACATTTTTGTAGCCTTCATAAATGAGAACAACTGCTCACAGACATATGTGGAACCAAACATCGCCATAATCTTTGTAGCAAACTTTCTGAAGTTCGTAAATGTCTGAGGAAGGTATGAAAAAAATCCAGGTACCCCTACTTTTAGGTACTTTCCCTTGATTATTGAGTCAGGCTGCATTTCCAGTAGTTCCATGTGTAGACTTTCCTCTGTCTGAGCAATATCGAAAATGAATGGTGCTGAGAATAATGCAAACTGATTTTCACAAGATGAAAAATCACAAAATCTTCACAGAAATTCCTTTGACAGCAATTCCAGGAAATTGTTGTACTTAGTAAAAATAAATACAGACTCAGTATTGGCAGTTTTTTTCAACTCCTTGCATATAGGAAAATGAATCAAGTTTTCATGTGACAACTAGGACTTCAATAAAGCTAATTTTGCAATGAAACACTTGATATCATCATATAACTGAGTGATGAGCTTATTTTTACCTTGTAATTTCAAATTAAGGTCACTCAATTAGGCAGTAATATCCACTGAAAAATCTAGATCTTGGAGCTAGCTTTCATTTTTCAATTCATCTGTGCTTTGACCCTTCATCCCCAAAAACAACAATTTTGTGTCCCAATAAAAAATTTTTTTCAATACCTTGTGACATGAAAGCCACAGAACTTCTGTGTAGAATGGGACATCTGTAAACAGATTATTCATGTCTTCCAATAACTGGCTAAACTGATGGTGATGCAGAGCACAACCTTTGATATAGTTCACTGTTTTTGTGACAAAACTCAACACATGATCTAATTAAAAATCTTAGAACATAGGTTCTGTTGATGAATAATACAGTGAAAATGCTTGAATGCTGAATCTGGATATATGTTTTCTATTTTTGTACCTAACTTGGCAGCAACACCATTATATCTTCCAACTATATTGGTAGCACAATCAGTAGATAAATACACAAGTTTACTCAAATTAAGGCCATAATCATGGTAAAGCTGTTCAACTTTCTCAAAAATGTCCTAGCTTGTTGTAGTATCATGCATTAAGACCAGTTCAATTAGTTCTTCATAAATTTGAAATTCATTGTCACAAGCCCTTATGAAAATGGCAAGCTTTGCTATTCCAGCAATGTCAACACTCTCATCCAGAGCAATAGAAAAATGTTCAAAACTTGATGGTAAATTCTTCAACTGTCGACTTGAATCACCTACCATTTCATCAATCCATTCAGCAAGTGTTCCTGCTTAATGAAATGTCTTGAAATAAGTGTGACATCTCTGGACATACAATTTCAGCTGCTTTTACAAGACATCGCTTTATGAAATCTCCTTCACTGTAAGATTTTCCACTGATAGCAATCATTTTGCTCTGTTGCTGTGCTAACTTAACCTTAAATTCCTTCCCTTTTGCAGCCCACATATCTCCTTCATATTTATCATAAGATCAATGGTTTGTTTCATAATGCCTTTTCACATGATATTCTTTTGGCATCACAATGCAGTGGCTGCAAATCAAATGGTTTATCTTTCCATTAACAGTGGTTCCAAAGTACTGTAATTCCAACTTTTCTTGAAACGCATGTCCTTCAGATAATTTTCTCTTTTTACAAGAGTAGAATTCAACATTTTTAAGGCGAAAATGTTACAAAATTATGAATGTTTTCACTTTACATTTGTTCTTATTTAGTTGTCATGATTAATCAGAAATTAAAAATAGACGCTGACATTCAAAAACAAAATAACCATTGAGATAGAATAGACAATCTAATCATAAAAAAAATCTCACTGTTTTTAATAATTTGCATTACTAACATAAACAATTTGTGATATACCACGGCTATAGAAACCTTTGTAAGGGCTGCCAAGATGCATGTAAAGGGCTGCATGCAGCCCGTGGGCTGTCAGTTTGACACACCTGCTGTAGAATGTATTAGCTGAAATGTGGTAAAAACAAAAGCTACACAAAAATGACATCATTAATCAAAATTAACATTTGGAATGAATTATCTCAAAATTATAGGTGATATCTTAAGCAGAAAGAACTGTTTACTTGTTAATTGACTAAACATGAGGCAAGAGTGAAATAATGTTCAAGAACCAAAGTATTGAGTATTGCAAACTTCTGACCATTGCACCCCCCCCCAAAATATAACAGATAAGAAATTGAGAAAGACAGTTTTGTATAACAGTTACTGGTGCAAATTTTACAAGAGAACAGATCTATATATGGTATCAGTTTGAATGGGAATAAACTCAAGAAATTGTGAAAAGTCTAAAAAAATAAGTAATTTGGGTTTTACAAGCATACCAGAAGTATACTGGTGTATGGGTTTTCTAATGAGCTTTTGGAGAAATAAAAAGCATTTAATTACAATAAAATAGATTAGTATCTGAAATTATCTCAGTTTGAACTTGTGAATTAACAGGGATTTAATGATCAAGTAAAATAATGAGCACACATATTCACCACTGAAAATAAATGACAACTGAGATAAACTATTAAACCAAAATTAAAAAGGCCGAAATCCAAAATGTATGTTTTTTTTTTGTTTGTTTTTTAATCCCATTTACCTTTTTTGCATATTAGCTCAGAAATTTGGTCAACCTTGATCAAGTGTGTCAGAAGGTTGAGGTCACCAAAACCTTTTCCTATTATTATGCATATATGCTAAACCAACTTGTAACCTGATACTTGAAAGGAACATATTCCTTATACATACATACATACACACACACACATATATATATATATATATATATATATATATATATATATACACACACAGCAGTATGAGGTAGTTAGAGAGATGAAATATAGTGAAAGCAGTTGACATCACCACCCATACTATTCCCCTTTCAAGATACTGCCTGAGAATAATTTTATCAAATGAAGAGATTTTCCCAACCTATGAACTTTCATTCACAGACTGATGAAAAAAAAGATTTGGAGTCCAGGTTTAGGTAACTATCATTGCAGGATGGAGACCAAAATTCCCAGTTTTATGTAACACCTAACTCACAAACTAGTTATAGTTAGATAAACCATAGCACCAAGAAACTGGAAAGGTTTAATTGGATAAATGTAACCCTCAATATTGTGGTTTCTACAAGCAAAAATGAAAATTACTTCATGTTTTACTTTCTTATAATTCACCCACTTGACTCCTGAAAGTGCTTCAACCAGTTTTGTTCAAAACTTCCTCAGAGCAAAAATTTTAACCCAAGTGATGATCAACTGGTAAATGAGACAACTGGAAACTAAGGGCTTTTAAATGAAAAAAATCACAAAATAAATACACCAAACAGACAATCATCTGAAACCAGCTGCTCACTATTCATAAAATATGAGCAACAAATGATTTACAAATCACACATGAACAATAATGTTCAAAGGGAAGAACAAAGGCAACAACAAAAAGGTGTTATTTAATTCTGTGGACACATTTAAATACTTTGTTAGCCTAATTAGTTAATTTCTCACTTGAAAGTTTATTCTAAAATGATTGGTATTTTTTTTGGCCTAGTTTGTTTTGGTAGTCTGGGAAGTGAGAATAATTCTTTTGTAATTACAGAACAAAGAATTTGGTCATTCACTCTCATCTTCATATCAAGAGAAGTAAGCACATTCTGAAACCAATTTCAAATAATTTGTTTTTATTCCATCTTAGGCAACAGGCTTGTGACACTTATTACCAGATATTCAATTGATAAAGTTGAAATGAAGAAATTAGTTTCTGGGGGAATCAATCAAACATTTGCAAAATCAATGAAACTGAACATAAAACTAATTATTCTTATCTACATATAGATCTCTATACATATGATTTACATCTCTACCCACTCTCTCATATATATATATATATATATATATAAAATCTCTCTCATACAACACACAATATAACATATCCATATCTTTCTCTCATGTGTGTTCATATATTATATATATAGGAAAAGACAATGGGAAAACTCGTTTTAGCCAATGCATTCCATCCAATGTGGACATTTTAAAGGCAAAATAGTGAAATGAATTTATTGAAACAAAGTATCTATAAACAACAAACAAAATGTCATTAGCAACTACTACTGCTATTGTATATTCATATGGTCACCTGAAAAATTATGTCAATTACTTTTTTGTTTGAAGAGAATATTTTCACATATAGAAATATTGTTTGTATTGTTGTGTTGATGGATTCAACTGTTTTCTTTTGATTTCTTAATATGTTTGTTTTGTACATTGGCTTGGGAGAGTAGTGATTCTGTTAGTTGTGGTGTCCTTCCTCTAAAGAGTCTATGTTGGACTCTTCCACCTACTATAAGATCAGTAGGAGAGAAGGCCTTGGGGGAACAGTTGAATAGATTGAACACTGGTCAACCAACACACATTCACTAGTCATGTAATACTCTTCTGTTGTACTTACTGTTTAATATATGATATATCTGCAACACTGGTTTTGTTATTTCTTTAACCATTTACTTGGTCACAACAGTTAGGAAAGTTGATATTGGAAAAAAAACTGGAGTGTGTGCAACAATGCAAATGAAAATATCACGGTACACTTAGCAAAATTTTTAAAGTGTATACATTTAAATGTCGTGAAATAAAAACAAATTTTTAATTAAACAAATGTTATCTACAATTATTTGAAAAAGGGGTTAATATTCATTTATTCAAATAAAAAAAATTTTAAAAAGTTAAATTAAAAAACAAAGTATTTAAAATAACATAATCGAAGAATAGAGAAAAGAATTATTCAAAAAAGTTAATATTTATTTATTCAGATACTAATGCTGTTCCATTACTACTCTCCCCACCACACATATATGTGTGCTGTGACAATATTTTGAAGGTCGCAAGTTGAGAATCATTGCTCTAGGCTATTGTCAACCTTAGCAGATTAAATGTTTCAGCTCAAAATTCTCTGAAAGTCGCTTAGGATCAGCAGGCACTGGAAGATGACTGGTAGAAACAACAGCTGAAACATTGTGACAATAACAACAAAGATGTGGACAAATATAGAATATGATTCATGCCGTGTGGGCTGAATCAAATTTAATGCAAATGAGCTTTTCTTCTAAGAGAAGTTAATCTGTGGTGACTCCAATATGTATAGTGTCATACCAGAGCATTAGAGAAGTCATGTGCATCAACAATTTGACCTAGAAGGTGACCACCTTGATATCAGATACAGATTCATGCCTCACAGGTTGATTGCGATTACCCGACCATTTAAACAGGCAGTTAACCCAGCTGCACTCATGCTATACAAGATGACAGGAAGATATATATATATATATAAGCAACCTAAAGTGAAAGGGTGAAGACAGAGAGTCTCTTAGATCCTTGCAAGAATTCACATTTGGAGAAAAACTCCAAAGCCATACACTCACTTGCTGATATTAATTGACAAAATCTAGAGGTGAATGAACAATAATTTTACATATGAGAAATGTAATCTTATGTTTTTATTAGTCTGTACAACAACATTACACATTAGTCAGGATGTAAATAACTGCTGAAGAAATAGGAGTCTTATCATTCAGAAGATATGGAAATTAAACTCAAATGCTAGAACTAAATTAAAAAAGTTCTTTAATTTTATGCTTTCTAAATATTAAAAAAAAAAAAAAATCCAAAAAATGAACATTTACTAGACAGAACTTATTTCCTAAAAATTATTAACCTTATCACATGTCAAGAGATTTCAATTGTTAAATCCCTGGAGTCGTGACTGAATTGTTGAAAATTTGAATATGTGATATTAGTGCAATTAAATTGATAGATCTCAAAAACTGTTGAAAATCAAGCATTACAAATTGATTTTGTATGAAAGTAAATTGATTTCTCTTTCAAATGATATCAAATTTCGCCTCTTTCGTATTACTGGTTCAGAGATATGGCTTTGGAAATTTACAACTTTGTAAAAATTGTATCATTTCAGTGTCTCTAATTGATCATGTGATAATGCTATGTACTGAATAAAATACAGTGCTACCCAACTGTGGGTGCATTAAGGCACACCCGGACTGTAAGCATGGGAAACTTGTGGGTACCTTTGGCCTTAAAGAGTTAACACACCAAATATTGTTTAGACAAATGCTTTTTTCTCAAAGAATACATTTAACCTCTATCACTCTGCTGTACAAAAAGTTTATCCTGCCACTGAAGATAACTCTGATCACTGAACAATAGTGTGTTTAAATTTCATAGTTGTGTTGTAATATCCTGCTAAGGCAACAATAAGGATACTGAAATCGAGAGGCCTTGAAAAATGATAATTATTCAAAATGCAAAATTCAGTATTGCAATAAAGATGTAAAAATTAAAAGCAGAAATACAAATAGTTAATAAAACAATTTAGTGAGAAAATTTAAGGCATATGATACTGTACACAAATAGTCAACTACTGAAGAGTAATTGTTAAAGGATGCCACTAAATTCTTTAAGTTTTCCATTTATGTTATGGTATTTCTTGGTGCTCTTGATATTTTGGCAGCCTGCTCTTATTTTTGCAATATGAATTTCTTGCAAGTCCTGTTCTCTTTTATGAGCATCTAAGAATTTCCATATTGTGGGATGATGGGATGACACTTGCTGCAAAAAAGCCCTATGCTATCATTCAAGGGCGTCATTAGTTCTAGGTCAATCAGCAATGACTCTCTCAAAGAAAGACTACATATGTATTTCGAATAGTTATCATTTAGTATAATTGTCCTTTCGATTACACCCTTGTGCAAATTAATTGAAACAAAATGAATAATTCTATTATCTACTTTTTTTGTATTTTTCATGTGAAATATGACCCAGTGCATATGTTAGTACTTTGTATGTCTTTTGCATAAAGTCATTCCTTACAAATTGACCAGAGATTCTCAATTGGATTTAAATCAGGAGAGTACTAGTACTTTAATTTGCTCACTGGTAAGATTTGCCAGTGTGTTTGTGCAGTGTTACAAATTTTTGTACACTTTCTTGAGGTAACATTGATTGCAGACAATGGCTGTAGGACAACTAATTGACAGTTGGGACAATAGTGTTTGGGCATGATATCTGATGCAATCATGGATGATGCCGAACAAATTTCATCACACACACCCAAAATAGATTCATATTACTGCACACCACTGCAAATGACCTAATCTGAGGAAAAAATAGAAATTGATTAGACCCTGTCACCCCAGTGGGTCTAAAACTGATGGTATGATGAAAGAAAGGAAAATAAAGAGGTTGTTTCAATTAATGTACATAAGGATGTAATTTTCATTCAAACAATTTGAATGAATGTTTTTTGAAATATTGTTTTTGAACAATTTTCTCAATACGGAAAAATAATGTAGTGGAAAGGGAAGTAATATTAATGATGCAGAGTGCAAAGGACTGAAAAATGAATTGGCTGAAACATTAAGTTAATATAACCCATATAAAAGTGGGGGTTTAATTGTCTGAATATAAACTAAACTAAACTAGTATCAGGTTTCACTAACTTGTATCTATATGAATAAATGGGAAATTGGAACACAATTATCCAACGAATTCTGGGGTTTAAAAAGCCCAAACTCTATTTTATAGTAATTTAGACAATGTTTACTCATTCCCCCACAAGAATGAGATGTGACACAAGGTCGGATTAATGTGGGGACCTGAGCACATGCACCCAGGCAGGGTAAAAAATTCCCCTCATCCCCCGCAACCATTGGTTGCGCTAGCCTTGGTGCAAGCACCGATCCCTCCCTCTTGTGCAATGGGAGGGTGCAGCCTCGGGCAGCTGTTCCCCAGGGCTGGGCACCTCTCAGTATTTTATTTGAGGATTGTTTTGATTTTCATATCAAAAATAGTCCTGTTTAGGAATAATGTCGTATATAGTGCAGAAAAGTCTTTGAAATTTGCATTTTACTTGGCCTTCAATGATTTGGCATCTATTTGTAAAAGTTTCCTTAACTATAACAAGCCAATTTAATTTATGAATGAAATATTCATTTAAAATTTTTGTTTCAAATATTTCAAATACTAAATATATCTTACTTTGTGAAGCTTGCTAGTCTATGATAAATTAGCAAGTAAAATACTCACGTGACAAGGTGCACCATGACATCTTGGATTTCTGCAGGTAGGTGCTTCTTCTTAAATTCGAGAAAGTTCTTGAGGGTTTCGCGTACAACACTGCTCACTTTGATTTGGTCAACAGGATTCCAAAGTTCGGTGTATACCAGGGAGATATGTATGTAGAGTTCTTTGTAGTACTACAAGAAACAAGGTAAACAAAATTCTAAAATAGAAAAGGGTCACAGTTTGTTTATAGTAATAGATCTGAGAAAGTGCACATTTAGTCTTTTTACAGAATTCCAGAAAAGACAAAGCAAAAATAATATATAATATTACAGAGACCTCACAAAAATTGACTCTTATACTTTCAAACAAATCTTCATTCAATGATCTAGAGAGATATAACAAAAGTCAATAGACACTTCTATTTCCAAACAAGTATTTATTCATTGATCTACAGAGATGAGGCAAAGTAAATAAACACGTCTATTTCTAGATATAGATCGATGTGCACATAGCATAGCAATTATCAGCGCAAATACTCTTGGAATGGTATATAGTCCTGGGTATGACAATAAACTTCATCTTGCAGCAAGACCTCTGATTGGGACATTGGATGATTTGAGGGGTGTAGTACCACCTCTTGCTGTTGTTTCCATGTCAATACATTTTTATAGCAAAGTAACAATATATTTTATAGTAAAGTTGAAGTCATGGCATAGATTGTCAAAAAAAAAAAAAAAAAAACTAATTCGCTATGATTAATTTCATTTCTTTTAAGGAGAAACAAGTGCTCATTCCTCATTTGATTTTGTAAAATTATTTGTGGAAAAAACTTCAGCTAAGTAATTATAATTAAATAATAAAATAATGTCATTCTCTTAAATAAGTCATGAAGTTTGAATGTTCATATTTAGATTTTGACATCAAATAACCCATACAGGTTGATATGCCACTAAATAAAAACAAGCAAACCATATGTTGGAAAGGTATGAATCTATCTTCTCTCCTGAGTAATGGCTTAAATAGCAGAGAAAATTGAGCTAAAGAGCTCTAGCTTTAACCAGCAACCAGTCTAAGAGAAGGAAAACTGAATTCTAAACCAAACTGAAGAGGAATAGGCTTCATAAAGTTATCTTGTCCTAGACGCACCACCTCTGCACTTACAACCCTAATAGGTTACTAGACTTGCGATATGACATGATTTTTTCTTTATTTAATGATTTACTGAGACAAAAAATAAATAAAACCTTTTATTTCAACTGTTTTTATAGGGAACATCCTCCTTTCAAGAGTCAAGTTACAAGTTGATCTGCATACATGCACAGCAACTTGGGAGGATTTTGATGATGTCATCCTCTTGATATACACAGTCAAAATGAACCTGGGTAATATGCAATCAAGGTTAAAGGGAATTATAAAACAACAAATTTCAAGTTTGAATTTCAGCCAGATCCAACCTAGTTTATGGCCAGCTGGTTTATTTTAATTCTCATCTTCCAACAGTGAGTGTGGGTGTGAAGTAGGTGTTCTTTGTTTCATGCAATCATACTAGTTAACCTATTAATTTTCAAATTCAAACCCAGATAGTTAATGTTTCATCTTGCTGTAATTTAATGCCTTTCACAATCAATTCTTTTGACCTTAGCCTTTATATGTCCATAGTTCATGTCAATCTAACCCTCAATTCATATAACTGGCATCCATCTCAGGTATTTCTAATAGAAAGCCTTTTATTAATCTCTCTTTGAGATTTAATACTACAATTCATATTATCACAGTTAAGTTGGTTTCTGTTTACAATAAGGAATTTCAATAGATATGCAAAGGGAATATTATATAAAAGAAAATATAAAATTATTTACCACATCCAATATGTTGGCAGTGCCTAGTGCATAGAGAATCATGTCTGATTGGCTTAGGTTCAGATTCTGGTACTGAAAGAAAAATAACAAAAAAGAAATAAATTCAAGGTTTGTCTTTGACAAATGTCCAGACCAATGGTTCTTGACATCATTACATTACAACAGTAAAATTCTTCATCTTCAAGAAAAAAGTTTTACCTGGTTAGCTTTCTTTAGAAATGTTTACATTTTTAATAAATATTTTTGCAAGAGAAAGTTTTATTGGAGAAATAAAAGCAGACATATTAAAAAAAAAATTCAGAAGAAAAAACAAGGGTAATCAGTGTACCTTAAGTCCTACCAGCCATCTCTCTATCAGCAGGAGTGGTTGGTGTAGTAAGCATAAAAGCAATTAGGTTTGAAATCATTTTTTTTTTTTGCATATAACATTATTTTGGGATTACATATATTTAGTTGCTGTATGCATTTTTTTTTGATCTGATGATAAGACCAGTTTAATGTTTTAATTGTTATATTTCGGTATTACCTTAAAATGGTAATATATATTTTTTGTTACCCTCCCCTTTTTTTGTTATGAATTACTTTTTTAAAATTATTTCAGCTATAGTTTTAATCAGTTTTTTTTTTCATACTAATGTTCACCCAAATAATGCTCCTGAATGAAAGAGGCAGCAGCAGCAGCAGGAAGTAAAGATTATGAGTATAGGGAAAATAGATTACAATTGACCCTGGACTTGTAGAGTTTAAAATTGTGCTGTTCAGATAAGCATCAATGCTGGAGTCTGTTCTTGGGAGAAAAAGCTGTCTGAGCAGAATTTTCTCCCTACAACTGAAATATAGAGGAAATGAGTGATTTCACTCCACAGATACAGTGTGGGCTGTTAGCTTTAAATCTCTGAACAGGGAGAATTAAAGATTAGAGTTCATCTGAACATTTGTCATGTAAATAGTGATAAGGTTTGGCATTGTATCTGTTGGAAAGAGGCTGCAGAGTGAAAAATAATTCCTCACAAGATTGTAAATGACTTGAAAGTGAAGATTCTGGAAAGCAGAATTGGCAAGAATATAGAAGGAAGGATACAGAATTGGCAAGGAACATTGGTAGAGAAGCAGAATTTACAAGCATATGGAAGGAAGGAAGAGAAGCAGGATTAGCTAAGACCATTGGTAGAGAAGTAGGATAGTCAACAATATAAAAGGATGGAAGCAGAATTGTCAAGAATATAGAAGGAAGGAAATGGAAAATGGGTAGAATCCAGGAGGAGACAAGCAGAATATGATGGTCAAAGAAAGAATAAGAATTGCCTAGAATCCACAGAGAGAGAAACTGAGTTGGCTAGAAACTAGAATTGCTTAGGATTCAGGTGGAGGAACATAAGAAGTTAGGATCTAGAGTGGGAAGTAGAATTTTTTGATCTTCAAAGATGAAAGGATTTTGTTATGATTTAAATAGAAGGAAAAAAAAAAACAAAACTTACCACTGATGTATCAAACACCAAAGCCAGTTTTGTATACACATAATTGTTTCCTCTTGTAATCTGAAATTGGAAAGAATAAATCACTATTATTGTAAAAAAAACAAACAAAACAAATGAAAATATCATCATATTTAAAATGGAATTATGTTTGTTTGACAATTTAGTTGGCCTGTTCATTTTGAATTTATTCTGAAGAAGGAGAATAACTTTATTCCAAGTAACAACCTTGTTAGTAAGTATTTTGTTTTAACCAATGAAAAAAATAATGTTAGAAATCAATCTTATATTTTGCAGAAAATGAAAGACTTTAAAAAAAAAAAGAAAAAAAAGAATTCATTTTTACTTAGCCTTTCATAAAATTCTAAATAAACCGCTTCACGAATCATTGATTTTTGTAAGCAACCAAACTTTAGTTTATCTTTTCATCAAGTTTTGACTGAAATATTGAATTATTGCTAAGTTTCAGTTAATGATTTTCATAATATTCTTTGTTGTTTTTTAACTGAAAGATTTCAGCCAGCCTATTTCCCAGCCTTTTTTGTCAACTACTTGTCTTCCAATCATAAAAACAATTAAAAAAATTAATGACAATTTTAAATTAACTTCATTTGGAAATATCATTTTGAGTAAATATTGTTAAAATACCAGTGATAATTGTTTTGTTTAGATTCCTAAAACTTCAGTTCTTTGCATTTAGTTTAGAGTGTGTGGTGGTTATCTTGCTTGAAATATTTGGTGTATGTAAATTCATTGAAGTGTGAAATTACAAGGTCATAAAACATTTCACATTAAGATGTTTACACTCCCTCACACAACTCCAGGTAGGTCTTGCGACCTGTCAGTTCAGAACCACCTCCACATACTAAAGTCTTCTGTTAGTATAAGTTAGATTGTATTCATTGCTGGCTTCTTTCTTTCTAAGTGTTTCAATGTTGAATGATGTATTCTGTGATTGAAAAGTTATTACTTCATACCTTTATTTATTTTTTATTAAAAAGTTCAATGAAATAGAGGGAGAAAGATGAAAGCGATTTAAATTTTACAATATAAAAGGGAAGCACTTTTAGGGAGTTCACCAAGCTATCAGATTTTGTGGGTAAAGAACTTTTATTCTAATGTGTGTGTGTGAACTTGGGTGTGTATAAATCAAAGGTTCCAGCTATTTTGACTGATGATTGACAAATTTGGCTTTTATTTAAAGAAAGTCACCGGTTTGAAACTGCTGATTTGAAAGCAAAACTTTTGAAACATGTGATAAGCTCATAATTGTTCATATTTTCAAAATTAATTATATTTTTATATCTTATGCATGGTTCCACATGAAGAGAAACAAGTTTTTGACATTAGTATTTTCATTCTTGATGTGGAAACACATATGAGAATACTTATGTGGGTCAATACAAGTGAACAAAATTTTACATTTTTAATTTCTATTTTAATTTGTTTTGTGCCATTTATTTTTAATTCAAAATTGTTTTAAAAAGGGTTTTGTTTTGATGTCAACTTTTAGGAATATGCAGGTGACTGTCTGAGCAAAATATTTATATTGTAGACAACTATGATAGTTTAAAAGTATGCTTTGATTTCATGGTTGTGTTGTCATATCCTGCTATGACAATCTTGACTTAAATTGAGAACAAAGTTATTGAAGTTTAAGAGCAGTGTTAGGGGAAATAATACTTGTAATTAATGCACTGTGCTAATGGCTAAAGTTTTTTTTAAACACGGTCACCCCAAGTAAGGCAGTAAAGTCACTAAGATACAAGAGGTATCGATGTGGAAAAATTAGAAAACAAAAACATTAACAAGGAGTGGGAACAAAGGAAGAGTAATCAGGATGACAGCAGATAGCAATTGACATTACATTTACATTTTTGAAGATTAAAGTTGACTGGAAAACAAGAAGCGGGAAGGGAGTTCACAAGCAAGAAGTACAAGAAAAGAAACTGTTAGTTTACTGATACATCTAGCCAACTTAACTGTAAATTAAGACCTTATTGACAGTCTAGTTCTATACTTAAATTCATAAAGTGTAGGTACCATAGAAAAGAGCTCATCTGAAAAATTATCATGAAAGTATTTATAGAAAAGACACAGGCAGACAACTTTATGGTGTTGGGAAAGAGACTGAAGCAGAGACACCAGATCATGACCAATAATATTGCTGATTCTTCTTTGGATTTTATCAAAGATCTCTAGATACAAAGCATGTAAAGATAAACGAATATAGTTAATTTTTTGTTTTTGTTTCTAATCAGCTACATTAAAATAGAAATGAATGCAAATATTGTCAATCAAGTCACTGGCATATGATCTCATCTTCTTTATTAACCCTATTATAAGTTGAAAAATCATAAGCTGAATGTAATTATTCTATACAGATTAGGACCTCAGCTTCCATTGTAGAATATTTTTAATCTTAAAATAAGGTTAAAATAAACATGAAATTACCAGAATTGTTTTTGGACTTGAAAGAAAGACACTGTCCATTGTATGTAATTAAATGAAATTAATCAATTATCTTTCCTATAATGGAATAAACAAATCACTAATTGCTGTCAGACGAAACACGCATTCCAGCAAAGTTTAAAAATTAGACATCCCTTGTCTAAAAATGACAAAACTATCCAATCACATATAATGGCTTTATCGATTTTTCATAAAATTCATATCTTTAAAAAGAGGGAAAAAATTTATTACAAAAATTATTTCCCCCCCAATATAATGTGAAACAAAGTTCTTTATAATTTCTAAGGAATTGATAGATTTTATTTTTAATCTGACATTTCTTATTAATCAAAATATTTTTGTGGATACGCATGTTTAAGTAGACACCCTGTTTTTTGTTTTGTTTTGTTTTTTTATTTTATCTTAAACAAGAATGCACATCTTGAATGCCTGTACACCAGAATTTTTATTTTCATATCCAAAATGTTAAAGTAATTTCTTAGGAATTGATGGATTTTATTTTTAATCTGACATTATTTTTTATTACTTTCAATGTTATTATTTTTCTTGATTAAGTCTCTTGAATGCACAGGAAGGGAGGTATAATGGATAGTGGCTTAGAGAGTCAAGTTTGAATTCCATTTGTGTTTTTTGTAGCATTCACCTATATGCAAATACCTTTGAGAATGGTATGAATCCAACAGCCACCTCCATTATGGTGTAAATTTAATCTGGAAAAATCATTATTTTTAAAAAAAATTTTGAATGCAATATTAATTAAAAAAAAAAATTTTTTTATTATTCAAATTATGTTTTGGCTTTGAAAACCTAAAATCTTGAGGAATTAAACACACAGACACTACCAGATACCCAAAAAATGCACTCTAGACTTCAGACACGCACACACCACAAGACAGAAAAAACACGAGCTCTACCTGAGCAATGAAAAACAAACAATATAGAATTCAAAGTACTGGAACTCCATCACTTATTTCCCCCCAAAAGTTTGATGTAGCTCAAATAAAATAGAAACTTGTTAAATTTATAACTGTTTCTTATCTTATCATTCTGTTGGATTTAATTCATATTTAGTTTCATTTCATCCATTGGGATACAAATATTGCTTCTGTCAGCAGAAATCTTTTACACCAAGATCTAGACCCACCTATAATTGGATGAACTATACTTGAGAGAGGCAAATGAATTCATTGGGGACAAGTAATATAAACCTCAAAGATAAAGATCTTTGTTTTTATATGATAGATTTCATAGCTCTCCACAATCTCCTATCCTTTAGCTCAAAGCAATATTTATCTTTTTACTATCCCTCCCACTTTGTTCTGCCATCTACTTACACAAACTTGTTAAATTATTTGATGTTTCCCTCTGTAATTCTTGCCTTCAATATGTCTTGTGAGTGTCAAATTCTCCAAACTCTCTTTCCTCATCATGTGTCCCAAAAATTTCAACTTTCTGATTCTAATTATAAGTGTCCTTTTTGTTTCTATTTTCCTTAAAACTTTCTTAATGCTTACATGCTCCATCCATGGTATTCTCACCATCATTCTGTAGAACCACATCTGTTTCCTCATGTTTCCTCTTCATCTGAAAGTTGATCTGAATTCACTGCTATATAGGAGGACTGATATTAAATAGCAGTTAAGCACTCTTCTTGGTTTCTAATGAAATTTTCCTGTTTCTTAATACTTTATTTTGCATCTGGAAAGCATTTTCATCTTTCCTTTGAGTTTTTGTTTCACATTTTCTGTCATCTATTATAACACTCGCAGTTAAATTTTTGTACTTAATGTATTTAATAGTTAAAAAAAAGTTGATTTAATACATATCTATGCTCTGCTAGAAAATTTATCAATAATAATAATTTCAGAAGCATAAGAGAAATGAAATTTTCCTATATAATTCAGAGCATTTACTTGGAGTCAACTACTTACATATGGATAGAAAATGAATTAAATAAGCCCATAAAAACAGAATAGAGTTCATGACAAAGATCCATCTTCACACTAAATTTATTTAACTTTTGCAGTGAGGTGATTCTAAGTAGAAGTCCTAGGATTTATTATTTGTGAATATAATCTTAATATAAGAGATGCAGATGGTACCATGTTGATGGTAGATACAGAAGACTGCAGGAATTCTTAGACAGGGCAGTAAAAGAAAGCAGGAAGAAAGGATTAAGCAACTCAAATGTAAAAAGATTTAGTCATAGGGATAGCAACTCTATCCTGTAAAAATGTACTTTGCTATGGAAATTACAGCAGCAATGTCTAGTGTTTTGAGAGCTGAAGCAAGTGAAACAGCCAAAGACATGAGTTATGAATTGGAGACATCAAAATCAAGCAATTACAGACATTTAAATATATGGGAAGTGTTTTAACAGAAGACAGAAAATATGACACTAAAATCTGAAGACTTAGTGGAATAGGATAAGGACATTAATCAGAATAACTTAATAATACTGACATATATTTCATTGGCAGCAAAAAGAAGTGGGAAAGGTTTGGCCTTTGCTTATATCATACTTATTATAAAACCCAGGTTGTGTGTGTGTGTGTGTCTGTTTGTTTATATATGGGATCGGATTTCCTACATTTTTCAACCGATTTCAACAAAACTTCACAGGACTACGTAAAATTACCTTGCGGTGGTTCTGACAGCGCCAAAAATTGGAAAAACACAATTGTTTTTGCATGAAATCAATTTGAAAACACGATTAAGAGGTATTAATGAAAGGGGGACAATTCATATCAAGTTATACTTATTATAAAACCCTGGTTGGTTGGTTGTGTGTGTGTGTTCATCCGTTTATATATGGGATCGGATCTCCTCCATTTTTCAACCGATTTCAACAAAACTTCACTTTTTTTTTTGGCAAGTGTTATTGTTTTAGTGTTTCTTATTGTCTTGCACCCTTTTTTCTTTATTTTTACATTCAGAATACTTTAAAAATTCCATTTACAAGACAATTGTTTATAATAAAATTCTATTCAATCGGTAGAGACTCATAACGATTGAAAACAATGTTTTTGTTTGGGTTTGACTAATTCGTAAAAAAAACAAAAAAAAAACTAATTAAGACATGCGTGTCCGTCAACCTTAAACATTAATCTTTGTCAATTTTATTTTTCAGTCTTTATGATGGTCGATACTTGATCTATCTCGTTTGGATTCTCTGCTACTTTACATCATAAACTAACATAATCAACAACTGATGGTTATCTACTTCTAGGATTTATTTTGAGGGACAAATCACTGCCCCTTCATCCAGTTTTAAACAGTTTTTGATTTTGGTTTCAATTCGTTTTACAGCATATCAACACCTCAATGGGTTATTTAATGCCAACAAGATTTTTATTGCTGGTAATAATTATTTTCTTCAGAAATTCATTGCTGGTAATAATTTTTTACAAAAATGTAATGATGGTATTAAAACCTATTTTTATACTTTCATATTGAATTGACCCTAGTTTGGGGGTAACTATTTGCCCATAGCTGGGACCCTAACAGGTGCTACCACCCTGGGTCAGGGTGAACCAGGGAACATCAGCAATTAAGAGGTGGTTCCACACTCCTCAAAACCTCCTCATCAGAGGCCTTGCTGTTGGATGTAGTTTAGCGTCTTACCCAGGATGTAGTTTTAAGCAGTATTGTCAGCTCTAGTTTCACTTCCTAAATTTGATAAGCAACTCCTGTGACTCGAAGGCCATGTTTAAAATAACACCTGATGAAGTCTGAGAGTACAACAAGCAAAACCTTGTGATAACATCAACAGAGATGAGGACAATAGTCCACTTGTAAATAGGGAAAAGAAAGACTTGAAATGAAAAAAAAAAACTCAAAAAAAAATGTAGTCACTTTCATAAGTTGATGGCAACCTTTTTTTCCTTATTAATTAAATTATAATTATGGTTTATCAAGAGATATTTACCTTTAATGTGCGTAGGTATTTGGCACGCCTGGCAAATTCTGCTGGGTGCAGGATATTAAAAGGTTTCCAGTAGCTGTGAGAATTACCTGAAAAGAAAAAAACAAATACATAAAAATGAAACTTAAATATTTAGTGTGTGTGCTCTTACATAAATGTAACAGAAATTTAGAACCTATGTATTGTTTCAGGGCCCTTTCCAGGATTGCTTTTTGCTGTTCAAGTTGTGCCAACACAGCAATGGGATTCATTTTGTAATTAACTTTTGTGACAGATATCAAAAGATTCCAAATATATCCATGTACTAGAATAGGTAGCCATTCTCCCTTGCAGATGCCAGGTCAGGTATATTTTTTGCTTCTTCAACATCCACAAAGCCAACCTATGGTTTATACTGCAGCTATGTTGAGGAGATATCAGTTCAGTACAGACAAAATCGAACAATTTCCTAGGTTCATTATTATTAAGGGTTCAATTAACATTAATTGGTTTCTCTATATCAATCTATTTCATTCAATTTCCTCTCACTCTCTCTAATATAACAATGGCTAGATACTTGTTTTCTGAGCACACCACACTGTTGCAAATGCCTACTCAAGTGTATTTGTGTTTGTTCAACACCCACAGAGTGAACTTGTCATTTATATTTTAACTATGAACTATGTTGAATGGAACTTAGTTACAGTTTCCGGGAGAGAGCACATAATCTAGTGTGATCAACAGTGTGAAAAATGCCAGTACACTCAAACCCTTGTATGTGATGACATATGACTTTGTTCTAGCACAACAATTAATGGCTTCCAAATAGTTTTGTCTACTCAGTTTCACTGAGAAGGCTTGGGTCAACCCATGGTATCGTTTTCAGGTACTTTTCAACATTTTTGTACACTGGGATGACCTCCCTAATATACACACATTAATGCAGATACATTCATATGCATATTCTTATGGGCCATACTTTCAGAACATGGGTGATCACAGCTCTCTACAACTTCCTGTTTTTTGTTGCTATAAGTAACTTGACCCTTTACCATCCATTCAAAGTCATCGTTAGTCATTTCCTTTCTCTTGACTTCAATATGCTCTGTAAGCATGAAATTTTCCAAGCCTTTCTTCAATGTATCCCAGAGATTTTAGCTGTGAGAAGCAGTATCCTTGTACTTCATATTTTCATTAAAACTTTCTTATTTATCACATACTGTTTGTATATTCTATTCAGTTTAACCACATCTCTGTTGCTTCAAATCTCTTCATCTTTGAGATTGTCCAGCATTCATTGCTATAGAGGAGATATTACAGAGCAGTTCAGTTCTCTTTTTTTTATTTTTTATTTGTAACTATATTTTCTTATCTCTTAATACTTTGCTTCTGAAAGGCATGAGGAGATTGTTCAGCATTCACAGCCACAGAGGAGATTAAATATTGCAGAGCAATTTGGCACTCTTTTCTTTGTTTCTAGCTATATTTTCCTCTTTTAATACTTCACTTTGCTTAGAAAAGGCATGACATTATCCAGCATTCACTGCTATATAAAAAAATTAGATGTTACAGAGCAGTTCAGCACTCTTTTCTTTGTTGCTGAGGACATTGTGAGATTTAAACAAAATAAATTTCCACTCAAATCTGTTCCCGCTGACAGCTAATGTGGAAACCGGAACAATGCTTCACTCGGGACTCTGTTTCCTGTACACCATAAAGAACAGTAGTATCGCTCTTTCTCTGGAACACTAGTACAACCTTCACCAGTCTCAAAGAACAAACTCCCCCCCAAAACAAAAAGTCAGCTCTTTTTATCCTTCCTTGGTCAAGAAACCGAGATCTCTTGCTTGTGTTAGCCTCATTCTCACCGATAACACATATGCTGTGTCACTTCAACATTGATTTGCCAAAGTTCACCTCGCAGGTCTATGATGTCTACAAGCACATGTACAGACAATTTACCTTCTCTTGCTTCAGCAAGGTATGTCTACACTACATTAAAACAAACACTTTTGCAGTGATCTGATATCTATATACAGACAATTCTGTATATATATATATATATATATATATATATATATATATATATATATATATATATAAAGTTTAATAATAACGTGTAATTAGTGTTCCCTTGTGAGAGAATTAATTTCATTGTCTTTCTCGTTAGTTCTTTGATGTTCACTTTGGCAGCAATAGCTCTTTTACTTGTTCTCTTCTCAGTCTCTCATGCTCTTACCATTTGTACACCACAGAAAACCTAAACTTAACTATGCAACTATTGTAGGATCTAAAACAATTCCTCCTTCCCCTATTGGTAATGTGATTTTTTTATATTCTTTTCGACGGTTGGAAATCTTGTAATTGCGGAAATGTAACATTCTTAATATTTGCCTCATTTGGTTCCCCTATCGCTCTTTCTCTGGAACACTAGTACAACCTTCATCAGTCTCAAAGACCAAACTCCCCCCTGAAACAAAAAGTCAACTCTTTTTATCCTTCCTTGGTCTCGGGCAAGAAACTGAGATCTCTCGCTTGTGTTAACCTCATTCTCACTGATAACGCATACACTGTGTCACTTCAACATTGATTTGTTAAAGTTCACCTCGAAGGTTATTGATGTCTACAAGCACATGTACAGACAATTCACCTTCTCTTGCTTTGGCGAGGTGTGTCTTCACCACAGACATTTTCTTGTTTCTGAAAGGCATCTTTCACTATTCCTATAGATCTTCAGATTACTGTGTCACACTTTACATCATCTGCTACTACAATATACAGATCATTGAATTTCTGCACCTAATTGATTTTGACACCTCCAATATTTAACTCACAACATGGACTGTCTCTTTTACTACAAACATGTATTCTGTCTTACATTTAATTGTTTAAAGAGACTAAAATGGATTATTGCTGCCATGTCTCAATTTACATTTACCAGCTTTGAGACAGAGTTCAAAATCATTTATGCAGTCTTGTAAAGGGTGAATTATTTCCAACAGCCTTCTGCAAGCTTATTACTATATCATTATTTCCATGACAAATGTTCTGATGAATCACATGCATTTCCTCTGTATTCTAATTGTAGACAGGAAGTTCTACTCAGACAGCCTTTTTCTGAGAACTGCTACTTTGTGGAACAACTCCCACGTGGATGCTTTTCTGAACACTGCAATCTTAATCTCTTCAAGTCAAGGAGGGTCTGTCATTATCTATCCTCCTTAACCTTATAATCTTCACTCCCTTCTCTTACATTCATATAACACTCTTCATTCATTAAAGCTCTACCATGACTGGCTCTTGAACCTTGTATTGTGTAAACTTTAGTAAAGTTTTTTTCTGCTATAAATTCTTTGTCAACAACATTCTCCTTTTGAAAAGAATACTTCTAATATCATAGATTGTACTGCTTCCTGGAAAAAGAGTAATGTTATTAGAGATGAAGCAAGTCACTTGGGAAACTGTTGTGCTATGGAACAAGAGAAGTAACAATACAGAATCCAATGCAAAATGATTATATCCAATAATGGACAGCAAAAGTTCAATGATGAGTTATGGTCAGAAGTGGTCAAAAAAGGCTTTCATACAAACATGCATATCACAGGCTGATAATTAGAGTTCCTAAAAATCAATATTGCTGACCAATAAGAGACATTGTTTAACAAAAAAATGTATTCAAACCATGCTGTATTTAATGTACTGGATGAGAGGTTGAAGACATCCAATTAAGGGTGACACTGAGTTGCAATGAATGGCAGCTCCAAAAATATACCCTTGTCAAATATATCTTTCTTTGGTGAGTAAAGACAGTTCATAAAAATGATTACAGCTGACATTTCAGATACCAATTTCAGCAAAAAAAAAGTATTCAATTACAAGGTAAACATAAATTTGTTGCTTGATTATATGCAACATGTTAAAAAAAACTGAAATAGAAGCAAGAAAGAAGTAAAAGAGAAAGAAAATTTTTTTTGCATTTAGGTATAATTTGCAGTAAGTCATGTTTGTACAAAACATAGGCATTGCCTCATATGTTTGATATCCGGAAAAGGCTTTATACTGGCTATATTTCTGAGATGAGGTATTGTAATTATTTACATTGTTTGGACTGTTGTCCTCATTTTTGTCATGTTCACAATGTTTCGGCTATTGTACGCTCTGGCCTTCTTCAGGTGATTGGAATTTCGAACTGAACCATTTATTTCATCCACCAGAGTAGATGGTTCTAGTTCCACATGCCGTAGCCTCTTCCAGATATCTCAGTTAGCTCAAACTCTTGGTCATGATGACTTGTCATTTTGTGATCACACAACCATCAATGGCTCCCAAATAGCTCCATCTACCCAATTTCCCACACAAGGCTTAAGTCAACACTTGGTTTGGTTTTTAGGCAATTTACTAAGGTGTACAGATGCTGGGATTGCCTCCCCAGGCTGATAACATCAAGAAGTAACCTTCCTGATAATTTGACCACTATGAGATTCAAACTCGGCTCTCATGGTTAGAAAGTGAACATTCTAGCTACTCAGCCATGTGTGATTGAGATATATATATATATATATTCTATAATAATTTTAAGCTCCTCTCCCTCAAGAATGAGAGTAAGAATTTAAAATTAATACTTTTATAAAAAAATGTTAATATTAATCCATTCATTTTAGTAAATGTATTTACATTGATAAATTCAGGGAAAAACTACTTTCCCATGGACGAAATGATGATCTGTATGAGGTAATTCATTTGGATTTCATTAATTGTAATTCACTTATGCTCTATAATAAAAATTATATTGAGCTCTCTTTTGTGGATCAGTTTTAATATTTTATATTAATAGGATCTACTTGGATTACTTACCCATGGATATTTTTTTTTTTTACATATATGTAAGTTTGTTTTTTTTATATATATCCCACATAGGTAAAAACATAGGAACAAGAAGTTGAAAATGTAAAATAATGATAATTGGAAGTTGTTTTTTTTTTTTTTCTTTTTTTAATCTAACAAATGCATATCTCTAATATAAATGATTATTTGTTTCCAAAGGGCCCCAGTTTTTTTTGTTTTTTTTTTTGAAGGAGGAAAAATAATTTATTTTTTAAAATAGACAATACCGCTATTTTATAATTTATAAACTAAGAGTGTTATAGACAGAGATGTGTCTGAAATTAACTTTATCTTCACATAGCCATATTTCAGTCATTGGTGCTGAGTCCTTTTTTGATTAAAGGACTTAATGAAAAAAAAAAATAGGTTCTCTTGTTTTGACCAATACACCATCTGACTTTACCACTTATTTGGTCAATACACTCTCTGGCCTTCTTTACTTTTAAGGATGTTTGAAAAGAATATTTTTATTATTACAAAATGCAAGACATATCATGGCATAACCACAGTTCTCTCCATCTCAATTTCACTACTAAAAATCATAGAACTGTAAAACCAATAAAGTTACTTTAAATAGATATTCTTAAAGACTCCAGTTGCATTTTCAACTTCTTTTTACTAATGTACACACACATACATAATAATAATAATACATTTTGTTCTTCACTGTTGGGTACAATTCTGCATTTTATGCATGTGGCAATCATCAAGCACAGATTGAAAACTTTTTTTTTTTTTCCAATCGTATCAATAGGTTTTCAATCTGAACCTGACAAGTGCAAAATGCTTAAAACTCAGTTGTACCAAATGGTGGGAAATAAAATATATATTTATTATTAGTATAAATTTGATCAATGTTTTATTACCACCAGGCTGAAGAACTATATTTCTTAGTCTCATCACCCCTGATCTTTACAACTGGGACCTGCCATGCCACCTACACAAGGGTGAATTATTTCCATTCCCTTTGTATTCTTATAGTAAGAAGTAAGTTCCATTGGGGGCAGCTTCCTCCCAAGAATTGTTGCTTTGTAGATGTTTTTTCCTCCCCAATCACTAAAATCTTGAGCTCTTCAAATCTAGGCTTAACCATTATCTTTCCTACCTAGCCCTTCACTATTGCACTTTCTTATGCTCATACAACACCATGCAGTAACCCTCTACTTTGAGTGGCTCTTGGGACTTGTATTGGGTGAACATTTAGTATAAAAAATGCACTTTACAATCCTCTTTTATTATGTCAAAAAGAAAAACGATACCCCATACTGTTTTATAAAAAATTACCAAAAATCAAAGAATTTTTGAATTTTATTGAAGTTTTGGAGTTCATTGAAATTTTTAGCATTTATTCATTAATGAATGAATTTTATACTGAATTTTTTTTTATTTATGTTAAAGTTTTATGGAAGTACATTTTTCTGGTCAGTTATATCCTCTCCCCTATTTAACTCATAGTTAATCTGAATGAATTTTAAATGTTTTGAATTTTTACAAAGCTAAATCACACACTAAAAAAATTATTTAATATTGACAGTAAACACATAAAATCATATAGCCTGAAATCTTTAAAAAAAAAATTCACAAAACGACTAAAATTATTTTCTGTGGAAAATTACTGATATCAAATTTTAGTAAAATATACTACATATTTTTGTTAAAAAAAAAATTTCTGATGTATATTTTTCGTGAAATTTTGACATATTTTTTACAGTACAATTTTAAAACTCTTTGAGATTTTGATCATTACTGATAAAATTGATATAAAAATTTTACATGTCATTGAAGGTAGTCCAAATGAATTAATAGTCAACAACACTTACCACATCTTTCCTCGTCAGAGTGAGTAGCTTTGAACACAACATGTGGGTGGTTGAGCTAAAAAGACAAAAGATAAATTATAAAATAAGACATTGAAATAAAAAGTGTCAATTCCACAGTCATGACATTTAAAGAATTGGTTTAGATTTTTTGCTAATGCCTTTAAATGGAACCAGCTAACATACACCATTTTTTTTTTTTTAAGGACTTTCTAAAAATTATTCAGTGCAGCATGGACCTTGGAACATTTTGGTTAGTTCCCTACCAAAAGCTAATGTGCATAATTTTAAAATATGGAAGCCTATAAAGGGGGAGAAAAAAAAGTAAGTTGCATTTTCTTTTCTTGCAATCTTGAAATACATTGTGTTTTAACTTGAGATCAAATTTTAAGTACAATTTGATTTTGGAAAATAAAAACATTTCAATCCTTCTCCTGGATCAGCAGTTATCTTTTTAGTTCAGTCAGTCAAGTTGACAGATATTTATAGTTCTAAAGAAATCATGCGATTAAATGTTTAAATAAGAAAAAATAATATTGGGCATAAATTAATGGAGAATAAATAATAATACAGGGTCTGATGGGTAAATTGCTGCCATTTTATATTTTTAATTTTATGCATGCATGTTGTTTGTTTTTGATTTTTGTCAACTGCACAGTATAGTAGGGTCAGTTGGGCACCATCTGTGAGGAAAAGAGCACCATGATGCAATTCACTACACCAGAAATTTGGAAATAGCATGCTGTACTGCTTGGCAATCGTGCCAGAAGTTCCAACACAAACATTTTAGAATGTTTAGGTGTCAATCTGAGGAAAGTGCAGAGGATTTGGAAAGAGATGAGTCTAATGGTGATTACAAAGGTGTTTGGAGTGATCACTAGTGATACTGGCAATATACCTCCATTCCTCTTTCCACCAAGTCCTCAGACTCAACATTGAGACCTATATCAAGAGCCTTGAGGAGGTAGTGCTGCCCTGGGTAAAGAGTGTGGCTGCTGGAAGACCCTATGTCTGGCAACAGAACTATGCACCATGCCAAACAAGCAGGAGAACCCAGTCATGGCTTTCAGACAGTTTTTTGCAACAATATCCCCCCTTACATCTGACCAACTAATTCCCCAGACTGCAACCCCCTTGATTATTATGTGTGGAGTGCAGTTGAGCGAAAGACCAACAAAACTCCTGGTAACACCAAAGATGAACTGAAGGCAAGGATTATGGCAGCATTCACCAACTTAAACAAGGAGACCATCCAGAAGAGTTACAGGAGATTCTAAAGTTGTCTAGAAGCTGTGGTTGAAGTCAATGGTGATTTTATTGAATAAATTTACTCTTTAGTATTTCAAGATATCTTTGTGTAATTTTGGTAAATATATCTGTTAAAATGAGATGTCAGTATTATTTTCATTTTTACATAATTTAGACAACAATTTATTATATACAGTGTGTGATGGATATCTAAATAATGCTTTTTATAAGTCATCACCAGGCTAGAATTTTCATTACAAGAGTGAATAGATAAGTTTATTTAATTATCCCTTGGATTTTCAAGAAGGGAAAAGACCAAGTGTTTGGAAGAAATGGAAAGTGATCAAACTGGGAGAGGGGAGGTTGGTCAACAAAACCAAGGATTAAATTTTCAAAAATAAAATCCAAACATGTTCTTGATTCTGTAATATTTTTCTTTTCCTTAATTGTAGAGTAGAGGCCAGATTAGTCAATTGATGTCAGAGTTCAGAATATTTTATAAAGTAAAAGGAAAATACACTAAATATCAAAAAGCATTGAGATGGAGGGTGGTAATAGGAGGTATGATGGGGATTGGGGGTGTTGTTATCATAGTGTTGTTTGGGCTGGTGGGGGGGATAATTGTAGTGTTGAGTGCCGTAAGACATTGCAGAAATAGAGAAAAATTGATTGTAAAGATGGAGAAGAATCATTTGGGAAATTTTTTTCTTCAAAGAATTTCTAAGAAAATAAAATGGAAAAACTGCTAAAAAATTAAATGACGGAAGTTAATTATTTCTATAGAAACGATTTTCAATGGAGATAATTATTTGAGAATCATGAAATTTGAATAATTGGAAGATCAGGAAACAGAAACTGCTTCATGCCAAAACGATTGTCTTAACAAATGGGCATCAAGGCTTACACTAAATTCACAAATCTTTACTCTCCGCTTTTGCTTAAATGTCTCTGTTGAGAATTTCTTATATAATTTATGCTTAACTAAATACTTATAAAATATTCAAATAATTTACTACAAATTGCTATTGACACTGGAGTTATTTATCCAAAAGAATGTAAAACGAGGAAAATTAACTAAATATTGTATTGGCCAAAAGAGGGAGAAGTGGGAAAGCCATGAATATATTGAAGAAAATTTAGAGAACAAAATAACAAATATGAGGATAATCATCTAAATAATTCTTGTAATAATAAAAATGGTTCTTTTTAAACATCCTTGAATACAAGGATGGCCAGAGAGTGTATTGGTCAAAAGAGAGAGAAAAGTGGGAAAGCTAGATTGAGTATTGTTCAAAATGGAGAACCTGTTTTTTTTTTTTTTTTTTTTAAGTCCTTTAATCAGAAAAGACTCAACACCAATGACTGAGACAAAGCTATGCGGATACAACAAAGTTAATCAGCTGATCATTTCAAAGAAATCTATATTCTATAACACCTTATTTTTTTTCTTTATAAATTATAAAATATTAGTATTGTCTATTTTGTAAAATAAATTTTCCTTTCTGAAAAAAAGAACTGTTACTTGGAGTTGGATGGTTTAAAAACTCAAATAATCATTTATATTAGAGATATGTATTTGTTAGATAAGAAAAATTTCCAATTATCATTATTTTATGATGAGATATTCCTTTTGTTTCTTGACATGAGTTCTTGGTTTTTATATATTCTTTTGAGATAAGTTTTAATCATCAGCATATTGAGGTAAAGCTCAAATGAATTTATCTTCTAAGAGTTAAAGGAGCCTTATTTGAAATAAATTTACAGATTTATGTAAAAAAAACATGGATATTTTTTTACATTAATTATATTGTATATAACAGCAATGAATATCTTATTATAAATCTTTGTCTGAAATCAATGGAAAGAAAAATGATATTCATTTGATGCTGAATGAAAACTTATTGATGCATTCTCTTGGACCAACTACCATTTCTGTGTGTGTGAACAAAGACAAAGGAAAACTTGTCTTAGCTGACAAGTTTCGCCCACTGATGGACATTATCAAGGCAAATGTAAGGATTTCATTTTGCAGCAAGTATTTATAAATAAAAGTAACAAGGATGAAGTGTGTTGGCTAAGACAAGTTTTACTTTTGTCTTTATTCATATTATCTTTTAAATGTTATTAGTTATATCTTGAATTTTACACATACATGCACACACACACACACACACACACACACACATATATATATATATATATATATATATATATGTGTGTGTGTGTTATAGGAATAGTTTTGCTTCAACACAGATCATCAGAGAGTAAACACAGGCAATCCCATTTTGAATAAGTAGATTATGTGATGGTAAAGGAAATGTATATATGGGAATTAGCATGGTGTCTAAGTGATCACAATATGGATTACTATTTGGATCACTGTTTGGTGGTTACTATTCGAGTAAGTATTATTGAGCAAGTACTATTAGTGTGATTGTTATTCAAAGGCATCTGACACCAGTATTGTTCAATGGTGTTACAAAGTCGCTACTACAATGAGCATTGTGAAAGTGACAATGAGTATTCATTGACTTTACAAAAGTGGCAACAAGTATTCATTGACATCACAAAAAAAATATTTGCATGGTGGAGTAATGGATAGTTGCACAGATTGAAGATTTGGAGAGTTATGCTTTCCAGTCATGTTTGCTAAATTAACATGTGCAAATACACTTGGGAAAAGTGTTAATCCATATCCTCTTTCCCCAGCTATTGGTAAATTGTCCAAATGTTCTGTATGTCTGAGTGCTTTCAGCTATACATTTGTGCCATTATCAATTTTATTTTTTACTTTTAACTGAATGGATGGATTGTTTTATATATATCTCAAGTTATAGGAATATTTTGTTTTCTAAACATGATCAGCACATTGTAGCTGTGTTCATATATGATGTTATTGAATGTTGGCTTTTTCTTTTTTATTAATAATGCTTCCATTATTTTTAATGAAAGTTGTATAATAGGGGGATTGCTGCCTATATATATATATCTTGGACCAATTTTAAACTTAATTCACATTTAAAACTGGTCCAAGTTATTGGAATACCTCTTATATATATATATATATATATATATATATATATATATATATATATATAATATACACACACACACACGGAGCAACTTTTCTTTTGTACATTTCATTGAATATGATAGACAAGGAAATGTTATAAGTTTTTTTAATTCAATTTTTCTAATGTTCTTATAGTTTTCCTTTGTGTTGGTGGTGGTTAAGAGAGTGTAGAAACTGTCCGTAATGATTAATATCCCAATTTTTAGGGTGTTCAGTGTTAGAATATAAATACAGGAAAATCTATTAAATTGTATTGTGTAAAAGTAATAGTAATTCTAAGTTGTATTAAATGAGATGAATTTATTTTATGTTGGGGTGTCTTTAAAAGACAGCTGACACATTACTCTCATTATCAAACAGAGTAAAATTGAGACTTGTCTGAAACCATTACTTCAATTATGTTACAACATCTTTTACAATTAGATTTTCTAAGAATGACAGTGTTATCTACAAGTATTTTTCTAATGGGGTTTGTTTTGTGTGGGTGTATAAGTGCTTTGTTATGGCATTCAGATTGCTTAAGTGGTTTGTCAAACTTAGTGTTGCTGGCATATATCCTATGTAGCGATTCAATTTATTACAAGAGTTGCAGTTCTGGGCAGGGTAGTGAATGATAAACTACATTGTTATTACCTGTACTTTAAAGATATATAAGATTTTTAGGCAGCAAGAATTCATCCAAACAAGTTTTGTTAAATTAAGCAATCAAAATGCAACTATCAACATAAATATCAACGAATAATACCAAAATACTCGACAGCACAGATGACAAGGAAAGACTCAAAATTCTACAAGCCATTATCATAGAAAAGACACAATCCACATTAAATAAAGTATGTTTCACCACAGGAAACAGTATGAGTGTGTATAAAATATTTCATATGTATACAAAATAATATATATAAATATGAGATGTTCAATTTCCAGTCAAGCAAATGCAATCAGGTTTCATTTAACCACATAACAATGATTTGGATCAATTCAAATTCTAGCACTCTAAAAAATGTCAAGATAAAAAAATATATATGAAATCCTGTTTACTTCACTGACAACAACAAGTTCTTGATAATGACGAAGACACTGAAAAGTACTAGAAATAAATGGAACTAAAAATGAATTTTGGACAGTTTATACACAATTTTGCTCATGATCTACATTATATTTGAAAATTGAAAAAATAAAATAAAAAAAATGAAATGATTTTGTCATTGAATTTTACAAAACTTGTTTGTGTGCATATATATATATATATTGGAAAATACTAAAAAATGCCATAACTATAAAGCAGAGAACAAGTATTGCTTATTATGTATGGAGGAAAAAAAAAAAAAAAGCAATAGCCACCTCCGATGAACCTAGGAATTTATTAAATCAAAGATCTGAGATTTTAAATAGGTGCAGGCATAAGAAATCTTGGTTATTGGAATTGAGGCTCTGTTGTTGTTGTTTTTGTTCTTTTTTTCTATCTTCTGTCACATGTTTTTATGCTAATTAGGTTTTAGTGGTTTTATCAATAAAAATTGTTTTGTGTCATTTCCTCTTTAGCCAGATTACCCTGAAGATCTGTTTAGGTGAAACCTAGATTGGTTGTTCCTGGCTCTTTAGGATTTATTTTTATATATACAGTGTAACCCGGATATAAGAGAGTTGTCGGGACCAGAGAAGAAGTCTCTTATATCCGGGTTTGGTCTATTTTATATACATTAACACAGGCTCTAATTTAGGACCAGAGAAAATCTCTCTTATATTCGGGTTACACTGTATATGAAGAAATATAGTTGTAAGAGGTGTTTATGGGATAAAGTGATCAATATCAGAGATAGAACATATGTAAATATAAAAGGGTACATTGGAGTCAACACTTACAGGCAACAGTCCGTTTCATGCTAGATGCAATCGTCAGGTGGCCTGACGATTGCGTCTAGCTTGAAACACTGTCACTGCTAAGTGTTGACTTCAATGTTCACTTATATATGTGTGTGTATGCATGTGGGATGCCCCAAAAGTAGTGCCTTCTGTTTATTATTAACCTGATAAAATTTAGCTGAAAATAAACACAATACAATGTGGCATTTATTATTACAAGCAAACCTGCCTGGTGAAATTGAGATGGTGTTACTTTGGGGTATTAGTCTGAAAACAGTTGATGCAGCCCACTGTAAAGCAACAATCATAGCTAAACACTAGTTAGAGTCAATGACGATGTAGTGACAATTCTACACAGAATTCATATTTTAAAAATTGCAAAATGCAAACAAAGTTGTGATTTTACTTACCCCTTCATCTCCCCCATGAAGTGGATGTATGACGTATGTCTCGTTGTGCAGCTGAATTACACCCCTAAAGAGAACGGAAAGAAAAAAGACATCAAGGTGGTTGAAATAACAATGATATTAGTTTGCCACAGAGGTTTTAATGTTTTCAAAAAAAAAAAAAAAAAAGAGTCAAAGTTGAATATTTGACCAAAATGGGACTCAGCAGAAAGGATTTGTTTGTGATTAAACATGAGAGGGATATACAGATAGAGTAATGGTTAGAACCACAAAAAATGGAATTGGTGTGCCAAGTTCAAATTCATACCAAGTCTGTTGTATATACTGAGCACTAATGCTCCTGGAAAATAGTTTCAACTATCTCCCTCCAGCTGGAGGTTAGATAACAGTGCAGTCTTACCTTGGGTGTGCAGGCAGTCTAAGAGAAGAAAAAAACTTTGAATTCAGTCTTCTGAAAATAATAGTACAGACTGGATTCTTTAATCTTGGTAGAGCAATCAGTCTAGGAGAAGGTTATCTTTGAATTCAAAACAGTCAAAAGGAGTATGGGTTCCATAAGGCTACCTTGCCCTAGACACGCTCACTGCAGATACAGTTGCAATAACATGCGGTGACCCCTTAGGATTAATGGGATACAGGACTTGTAATTATGAGTGTGAATTATCCCTCTGCAATACCACAGAAACATCTTCATTGGATGCAAGCCCAATTTAACCATGGGTTCTGCACATTCACAAGTATGTTTCCAGCTCCATTTGCATTGAACATAAACAATCCATTTTTCATCACCTGTGAAGATTCTGTCTAAGAACAGCTCCTTTTCATGGTGTAACAGCAAAGAAATTGCTGCAGAAACATAATCAAGTTTGTCCTGTGCCATTAGAGAATGTGGCACCCATGTGTCAAGTTTGGAAGTGAATCCTAGTCTCCTCAAATGGTGAAGGGCAATTGAAATACCAATTTTCAAACTCTTAGCAATCTCTTCTGGCAAAATCTCATTTATTTTCCATGATGGCAAGCAGAGAATCTTTCCTGTTGTTGGAAGGTCACGTGGAGTGTAGTTGATTGTTTAGATTAAAATCACCCTGACAAAATTTGCCAAACCACTTTTTGTCCTTTCAAAGAGCTGGAGCATAATCCAAATGAACCTGAATATTTTTTGTCACAGTTCCAACACTTACACCTTTCCAAATTTCATAGAGCATAATATGGCAAAAGTGTAACTTTTCATTCTCTATCTTTAAGGCATTAATTTGTGGACAAAATGTCCACATTCAACAAAGTCTGACTCCGAACTGAATGATTCAAGGTTTCAATCTATAGCACATCAGATAAAACAAACACCAGTATCAAGTTGCTGTCATTATAAATTATTAATGAAAACCAGGCACAAAATTTGAAATGATCTGATATAGAAAAGTTCAAGTTAAATAGTTTTCTATTTTATATTTAGTCCAATTATCTATAACTTAATTCTGACCAATCTTGAGCCAAACAAAGATAACCAAATGAGTAATTATGTTAGTTTGAAGTAATTAATTTGCAAGAATTAACAAGTGAAATTCTGTCATCTCATCTATGTTATGAAATAGTCTTATTCTAACTAATTTCTGAAAACGTGTGTTTTATTTTGTAGATAATTTCTGTTTAATTACTTTAATCTTTTGTGTATAAATTGTTAGGGTGTATAAAGTAGAGAAATTCCGGGTGTAAAAAGTTTATTTTCATGTATAAAATTTACCTGATTTTAAAGCAAAGAAAACGACCAAGAAGAGAAGAAAAAAAAAAAAGGACATTTGGTTTACTTTTATGATTTGGTAAGCATTATGAAAAGATGATAATGACTTTTTATATAAGACCACTAAATTGCCACTATACACGGAGAAAATAAATCAAAATAAAATTAAATAAGTATTAACTTTTTGGTTTGTTTTGGCTTTAATTATGAAAGATTTATTTCCCTTTGTTGCAAGAGGGCTTTAGATATTATCTTTCCAGTAAATAAATAAATCCAATTTGAGCCAATTTTTATCCATTTTGAGTTCTAGAAAAAATTGGGTTGTGTTCTAAACTAAATATGCATAATTTTGGACATTATTTTGGATGAAAAAAAATCTATGTCTTATACACACAGGATTATGGTAGTTTTTTGACAGGTGTTTCAGATAAAGTACTAGTTTTTGTTATTATGAAACATTCATACATTATTAAGGAAATTTAAAAAAAAATATGTTGGCATTTTGAACTGAGAAATTAACATTATAAAATGCTTTGCTTTTCAACCTAGCATCCCTATATTAGTTGTTATACTCACAAAATTTTGGCTGTGGTATACTCTGGTCTTCTTCAGGTGTCTCTCTTTGTATTTGGCAACTTTGCTGGAGTTTAGAACCAAACCCTTTATTCCAATCAACAGGGATAGATTCTTCTTATTCTGCTGTCCATGCTTAAAGTATATTTCATATCGGTTAATAATCACCAATTTTATTTACTTTTGTGTTGCTTATTTGTTTCTGCCACTGCACCAGAGTACATGACCTTTCAGATTAACATAGCCTAGTGGGTTAAAATGTCTGTTAAAACATCGGATGTACTGTCAGTTGTGAGTTCAATTCCTTGGTCTGGTAGTGCTGAAAAAAAATCTGCCATGGAAACAGATATGTTTTAACCAACATTTTAATCTTGACTGTGTCTTTTCCCAAACGTGAATATTAAGTTTCCTAAGTATAGAAAGCAGAATAAGAACCCGCTTCATACATATATGGAATAAAGGATTCAGTTTGAAATTCTAAAACGGTTACCAAGTTACAAAGACAGATACCTGAAGAAAACTGGACTATGGCTGAAATGTTGTGCATATAACACCATGCTAGTCTTAATGTCAAAGCATATCATGGTGATCATCTCAAGAATTATGATAAAAATTATATAACATGTTCAATAAAACATGTACAAGAGAAAACATTGGAGAATCAAATATTGCCAATGTTCATTTATAAATAAATTAAACTTCCTGTGTTTCTCTAATAGGATCATTGTCACTAGTAAATGATTAGCAAAGTGGAAATCTGTGAGTTTATTAAAATTTTGAATACACTACACAGATTAAAGAAAAATGTGTAATGAAATATATTCAAATATAGTTCATTTTATGCTTTGACTTGTTACACTTTTTTTAAGCAAAGAATATAACAAAAATATTCTTACTTTTAAAAGATTTTATGTGATAAATCTTTTTTCAGAATGTCTTCCTCCATAAAATGTTATAATATCCTAAGGTGTGGTCTTACTTTGAACTTCTGTAAACCAAATGTATAGCCGACAAATATTTTTATTCTTGTGAATTCATTTCGGCGTCACTGGAATTTGGTGTTTTTGTATGTGAATTCAATTCAACAATCCTCATCACCACTGTTATATTCCAGTATAATAGGGGTATATATTTGAAAAACACAGTGGATAAAATAAGTAAAGGTTTATTGTAAAAACCAGTACAATAAGAAATAAGGTAACAGTTATGTACACAATCATCGCAAGTCAATTCAGTAGTGAGTGCTACTATTGGAAGATTGGTACTTCTTGCATAAGTTTGAGTCATACTCAACAGATACTAGCTAGACTCAGTAGTCTGTTGACTTACCAATACTTATAGGTAGTTACTAGCTATAGTGTAGTTTCTCATTGGAGTGACAGGTTACATCATTTTAACTAAATTTTTATCTATAATTTAAACTTTTTTTAATGTTTTATTCCTTCAAAATGTAGGCAATTATGGCTCTCCTCAGATTTTTTTCATTAATATCTGTGAATTGCTAGATTTATCTCCTCTATGGTGAGTGGATGAAAGCCTTATCTAACCTGCTATTTAACCTATAGCTAAGAGGAAGAGATAGATTCTTGCTTTTTCCAAGGGCATTAGTGTGAATGTGAACACGGCAGTCCAAGCTGATTTCACTTTCAGCACCAGGTTAAATAATAGCAGAGATTAGACTCTCCAGTCTTGGTTGGCAACTAGTCTAAGAAAAGGAATCGATGGAGAGCTATGAATAACTACATACTGAAGAGACACAGCATTTAAAAAAAAAAAAAAAAATCAATGACCCATTCACTGGAAAACTGTCTCCCCACTCAATTGAAATGAGAAGTATCAAGTCATTCCTTAATGTCTGCAGTACTTACCAACATGTTTAGGCATTTCTGCACATTTTGTCACAAAGTTGTGAGTCGCAAAAATCAAAAGATACAGGCATCCTTTTTTTTTCTTGTGGAGTGTGGGAGTGCAAATTCAAACAAAGGAGAAGCCAGCTCTAAGTGCTATTCATTGAGTTAGATGAACATTAGGGACATAGGATCAGGTGGGAAAAGCAAGATTGGAAAACAAGAATTACCTGATGCCTTTGCAGGTGCTCACAGCAACACTTGACCATTCGTCTCTTTTCACTTTGCCATGGTAGTAGCAGTGTTCCACAACCTGAAAGATAAAAACATGGATATACTTAACTAAAAATATTAAGTTGCTTAAATTAATGACATATCAACACTTTTTGGGCTATTTCATGTCAGATATCATTCTTCCAAAACAAAAATCACAATGAATAGATAAGTAGACATAGGTCCAGTTGACAAAAGACGGATATGCAATGTAATTGGCCCTGATCTGGTATCTTGTCTGCAGCCGCTCTCTCACAGACATGCCGTTGCCTCCCTCTGTCTTTTTTACAAATATTTTCATGGTAACTGCTTCGATGAGCTGCTTTCGCTGGTTCCCAGATTTCATGAATTTAAGCGTTCAACTAGGCTGGCATCTCGCTCTCACTCTTTCACTGTCGAAACTGTTAAATGTAGCCATCACTTCTGCTTCAATAGCTGTTAAATGTAGCCATCACTTCTGCTTCAATAGCTTCATGTCCCACACTTCTCGCCTGTGGAATTCCTCCCCATTTCTTGTTTTCCTGATAACTATAATCTCCAACTATTCAAATGTAATGTCAATCGACGTCTCCAGATGCCCTGATCTATCCCCTATCTCTTCATCCTTTCCTCTATCATTCCTCTTTGTTCTCACTCCTACTCTGAAACCCTTTGCATGCTAGTGGCTTGCCGCCTTGCTTGGGGTTGAATGCTTAAAAAAAAACCCCAAAAACTGGAATCAAAAAGGTAGACTGGGGTTCACTTTACACCATAGTCCAAAAGGAGACACACAAACAGTTTACAGTAGAGCCAAAAAGGCAGACATGGGTCCTGATTTAAACTAGAAATTGCAAATATCCACTCAGAAGGTGTCTACTTCGGAGCCCTCTGTAGTGAATACAGTCAGTGTATTCTAAGCTCTGATGAAAGGTCAAAATATTTTTTAGGTTTTCTCATATAATCACCATTAGCCATTGTAAGTTTGCTGCAGGACAAAAGCCTTTTGCAATTTCTTCCATGACAACTGTATATATATATATATATATTGTACACTTAGTACTGGCAGTTTGCTTCATGCTTGAATGCAATCTTCAGCCCATTAAGATTGTGTTCAAGCTTGAAGCAAACTGGTGTAGACCTTAGTGTCTGCTTTTATATTTACATCTACTCTATCCCTGATATGGAGCACTTTTACCCATAAATATAGCATACCTTAAAACTATATTTTTTATTATCTATATTATGGCAGCAAAAATTAGACAATTTTGTTACATTCAACTTACAATGTTTGTCCATTTAAATATTTCTTGTATTTTTCAAATTTTTGAATAAGATGTTGTACATGGGACAGTTTACCAAAAATTTGGGATAAACTGTCCAAAGTGTATATTCTGTTTCTGATGATCAATATGTACATGAATTGCACTAAGCTTAAATAAGTTAAAAAATTGGAAAATACAATACAAAATTAAACAGATGTGCCTTGTCAGTTGTATTTAACAAAATTTATATAAGCACTTTATAGTAAAAAAAAAAAAACATTGACCAGTGGATTCCTCATAAATTTTTTTTGAGTTAGGGGAGATAAATTGAACATTTCATGTTATTTGTTGCTATATATATATATATATATATATATATATATATATATATATATATAGTGCATGTGATTCATGCCATAAAATCACACATATTTTGAATTGGATTTAATGCCAACAAAGAAATTATTTGTTCTCAGAATTTGATCTGTGGTGATCCAAATATGTACTGCACTTAGTATCAAACCAGAACATCAGAGAAACCTGGTGCATCAGAAGGTTGGCCTAGGATTTTGTACCTTAGAGATCATCAGTCTCTGCTCCCAACATGTGAACAGGTGGTTGGGCAAGTTGCACATGTGACATGAAGATATGTAAGTGCCACACTCAAGAAAGAAAAAAGATTATATATATATATATATAACAATGGAGTGGTGAAAAATTCCTGACCAAGCATCAAGCCTTTTTTTGTAAAGGTTTCTTGATCAGGTCAAAAAAACTTTTCAGCATTTACTTGTGTGTGTGTGTAACTAAATTCAATCTCTATTTCAATTGGCTGTCATCTGGTATACAGAATGTCTCTAAAATCTGGATACATGGGCAAAAATGCATATTTTCAAGAAATGAAATTTTCAACAACAGTTTATTGACTTGGAATATCAACAAATAACATCTGATTTCCATCATTTGTGATGCAAAGGTTGATGTGCCTTGAATGTGAACTTTACATTGCCATCAATTTCAGCACATTTACACTTTGTGTTCAAATCAAGTGTGTTACATCTGTGATTTTCATTGAGTACACCTTCTTATTTAGCATACTCAAGAAAAAGAAGTCAATTATTTCTTCTTTCAATAAAACCATGTTTAATCTGTGGAGGTAAAAAAAAATATAGTTAATAAGATTTCCTGTGTGTTCAGATTTTATGGATACCCTGTATTCATAATATACTGGTAGCAGTTGCATAATTTTATTAAATTTCACTTTCTAGCATTGATAGAGTTTAAAGCAATTAAATGCTCCTGTGTGTGATTTTTCACTTGTCAACCCCTTTCCCCACAGACAAACTTATTACTAGTCTCTTGCTATTTTATCACTATTTCCATGGCAAGTATTCAGACAAGCAACATTCCTTAGTTCCACCAGTTCAGACCTTCACAATTAGGACCTGCCATGCTAAATACACAGCTTCAACTCATCCTTGTACTCTACATATTCCTTTTGTAAGTAGGAAGTTTCACTGAAACAGCTTCTTCCCTAGAACTGTCATTTGTGGAACAAACTCTGAAGATGATACTTTCCCAATCATTACAATTTTTTAGTTTGTCAAGTTATCTATCCTCATAATATGCCCATCCAGGCTATGATGATAAACTACATCCGTGTCCAGGGTAAGACGATAAACTATGTCCAACAGCAAGTCCTCTGATCAGGAGGTTTTGACGGGTGTGGAACCACCTTTTAATTGCTGGTGTTCCCAGGTCCACCCTGACCTGGGGTGGTAGCACCTGTTAGGGTCCCAGCTATGGGAAAAAAGTTAACCCTGAAACTGAGGTAAAAAGCATTATAAAAGTGTAAAAATAGGTTTTAATACCAGAAATACTTTGTAAAAAATTATTACCAGAAATAAGTTTTTAAAGAAAAAAACTATTACCAGCAACATATTTTTGAGAAAAAAAAAATATTACCAGCAACATATTTTGAAAAAAAAATATTACCAGCAATATATGTTTTAAAATGATATTACCAGGTATACATTTTTGAGGAAAAAAATATTACCAAAAAAAAAGTTGCCGGCATTAAATAACCCACTGAGGTTGATATGCTGTAAAACACAATAAACCAAACCAAACCAAACCTCATAATATGCACTTCTTACTCCCCCCTTACAACAATCTTATTCAATAACCCTCTCTTGGTCCTTGTATTGAGTGAACAATAGTTTGTTGTTGTAACCTAAGGAAGGTTATTGAATAGAATAATCACACGAGGGTTGGTAACGAATGGTAATACTTAGGACAAGAACAACACATATAAGATTTGCCAACGGCATGTAGAAGTAATCAACTGCTAGAAGTGAGAAAACTGAATTCCACAATGAATCTCCAACTGCAGACCAACAAAGTATTTACTGCTGTATCTATGTGAATTATTGACCGTAGGTATGCTACAACATATATATATATATATATATATATATATAAATAAATAAAGGAAGACTAAATGTTTAAAGGGCCAATATTTAATTTTACATGATTTGTTTCTACTTTTATTTTGTTGTTTGAAATCCCATCTTACCCTACTGTATTGTTCAACCAAATACTGTAATAGTTGTAAATGTAAAGAGAATAGCGGTGGCAATATATGACCCCTGGGGTAATCATTTATAAAATTGAAAGGAAGAAATCAAGTTTTCTCAAAGTCAAGGATAATATCAGGTGTATGCTTAGAGTTGGTAAATCTCTGTTTCCTTCTCTTTCCAATGCCACTGGAAGCTCTGAATCTTCCGAACTAAACCAAGAATAACATCAGCATAATTGAGTAATTAAGGAAAGCCTTATTTGCCTGACTCATTATTTCCACCCCCAGGGTCAGACGGCTAGCAATACCTTGCCTCTATCTGCCTCATACAGCATGATTCAACCTTAAGCAATGTGATTCATCAAAGTCCCTGACTAATAGCTAAATGGTTAAAGAATTAAATTCCAGACCAAAAGGTCTAAAGTTTAATTTCACTAACAGCTATTTAGTAAACTTACAGACAGCTTTGATTAGCACAGTGGTCTGAAGGTTTTGATTCTCTCAAACTGCTGAAGCTTTTATTAAATTTCAATGAATAATTCTGAGGTGACTCATTTATATACGAAGTCACAAAGACTATAAATAGCTATGGCTATTACCCATGAGGCAGTTGAGTGCAGACTACTTCTTGTAAGTTCATAACACTACCCTAAAAACACAAGTGTTAAAATTTGAAGCTGAACACTGTTCATTTAGTGATTTATTAATAAGAAAAAAATAATGGCAAACTTAAAGATAAAATCTACTAATGTCCAAACTTACACTTGTAAAATTATTGATATTTAAATGAGTGGTAAAAGAAAAAAACATTTTTATCAGGAAGGTTTCCAATACTTAAGGTTTAGATTGTGTCAACTTTGAAAGAATTTTACAAGAACTGGCTCAAAATTATTCAACCATTTTTAATATCTGAACAACTGGTTGTGCATCCTTGACTGAAAGGAGACCTTACTGTACATGTGTCAACAGACCTTCTCCCTTAAGGTTATTCAGTCAGTATTGAGACACAGTTAAATGAGCTTGTGTACTTTCTGATCATTGAATTTTTATGTAGAAAGTTTTGGCAAACTATTTTATCACTAAGATCTATTTTCTTTTGAATAAGAAATGATTGCTCTTAAAAAATATACTCAAAACACATTTCTGAGGCTAAAACACAAAATATTCAGATATTTTCTTTTAATCAATAAGGAATGATCACTTTTAGTGCATATACTAAAA